CTCACAAAATGTTTTCATCGAGGAGTCAAAACATGTAGTTTTAGTCACTGACAATTCCTGCCACCTTGAAAAGGTATGTTTTCCATTAGATGGCAGTGTAAGGTCAGATTTAAACCTTATTTAAAAAAAAAAAAAAAAAGCTAGCCCCAAGCCAGGGGAAGACTTAGGGCTTGGGACTGAGTGAAGAGACACAAACAGGCACCTTCTTCGAAACACGTCAGCACTCACTTTCCAGTATGAGGACCCTCTGCAGCAATGACCTATGCAGCATGCAAATCAATGGGACTCCTTCTGAGACCGCCATAGCCACTCAACACATTGTGAGGCTGCAGTTGTGATATTCTGTTTTTGCATCAAAGAAAACATACTTTCTTGATTTGGCAGATGGAAGACGGAAGGGGGAGGCTAACAGTGAAGGTGGTCACTGCTAGTTCTTTGTGTGCATGCTACATATACTTCTTGTAGCTTTAAGTTTTTAGCAACATTGTTTGCACTCTGTGTTATTAAGTATTATAAGTTTGTTTCACTTTTTTCTGTCTGACCCAGTTTCCGGACTTCAAGGCACTCTCACTGACCATCTATTTTTACACAAAGGCAAAGTCACCAAAGGCTCTTTTCTTCTGCACTCATATGAAGAATTAATTTGCTGTCAGTTTTCCTTTTTTAAAATGTAATCTTCTAAATTTGATGGGAAAATTGAAATTGGTCTTTTCTTTCTCTTTGAAAGCCGAGCTGATTAGAAGAAAATCAGGTTTGCATTGCCCACAAAACCCATGTAGAAATAAAACAAATACTAGTGGTGCAACAACTGACTATTCTTGACAGCCATTCCCAGGTAATAATTCACAAAAACAGTTGGCAATCATATAAAAACAGTACAAGGCTCCCGTCTTCTGCCCCCAGTCCCATGTACAGACTGCCTCCCAAACATTACCCATAAATACCCTCTTGTTAGGCCATTGAATATTGATTTCAAGAAACAAAACCTAGCGAAAGTTTTCACGTAACATGAACCTGGTTTTACCTTCCTTTTTGGTTTAGTTTGTCTTCATTACAACTGAAGTCATGCTAAGAACACATATATTTGTGACTATTGCCATCGTAAATAAAAAATATAGACCTTTTACGAGCAAATCCTAGTCTCAATTCAAAGTGAAGCTATTTATTCTGAGCAATTAGTAACATTTTTATAAGTATCATGATGCCCTGTGTGCAAAACATCAGTCAAAAATTTAGGAATATAAAGACAGTCAAAGACAGTCAATAAATGCCAAGTTGTTCAACTCGTAGGCTGCAAGACAGAAGTATGCATGCTGGGTCCACCGGTAAAATATTTACTAAACTCTGACTCACCCCGAAGAGCCACAAGGCAACTAAACTGTGCTACTCTCACTGGCTTTGTCATATTCACATGAAGCGGCCACCACACTGCAGGGCCCCTCAGGCTCCCACTTTGTACACTAGACCATCAGTTGTCGAGAATTTCCACAGATACTCATATTGCAATCACCAGAAGCTGACTTATCTCCTGAAGGTCACCTCCCCACTGCAATCTGATCACTCACTAGGACCACAGGGGAGCATTTAATGACCAGCACTCATAATTCTTCAAACCTTTTAAATTATGTTTCAACAAATAATGCTAAAACCCTATTATTCCTTCAATACTGACATCTGCAAAAAGCAGGTGCTCTCCAGGCTTTTAATTATATTTAAAAAATGACATTAATAAACAGAACTAAAAGACAGTAAAGGACCCTAACCTGAGTACAATGCTATCATCTACAAAGACCAAAGCATCCACCAAAAAATAGTAAGTAAATTGGCAAAATAAAACCCACATCAATATTTTCCAATCTGCCTTTCCTTGCTTTTATCTTTCTCTAAAATAAGATTTCGCTAACTGTGGTCAAATAATTCAACAAGATAAACACAGTTTCTTGAAAGTATCTCAAAAAAAAAAAAAAAAAAAAAAAAAAAAAAAAAAAAAAAAAAAAAAAAAAAAAAAAAGGAACCTGGAAAGCATTTTTCTGGCCCAAAGCATTCTCTTCTCTTGGTTTCCATACGTATTCTCACTTTCATTTTTCATTTTTCTTGCTTCCTGGAATCTCTACATCTAGCCTCTCTTTCTTTACATAGAAAAAACTGCAAGACACTTTCAGTTGGACAGAAGAATGACTGGATGTCCATTCACGGTCTATAGGGCCTCCCCGTGTTCCCTGATGCTACAGGATCCGCACCTTTCCCTGTTCATTGGCTATTCTGAGTCTCTGTTAGAAAGACAGAGCTGGCTATGGAAGGCTAACAGCGAAGCCAGGGATTCCTGTCCACAGAAATGCACGTCAGCTGAGGATTCCACTGACTCCTCCGAGATGGACTGGCAGTCTTGCATCTTCTGGCATTTCTCATTGCATACGTCTCCCCTCTGGACTTTCCTTTGGGCTGGTTTTAACATCTTATTGGTTTTTTCCTTAATTATAAGTTAAATAAAAGCTTTGACATCTATTCATTTTATATTTGTATAAGAATCATGATTTTCCCTTTTTCAAAAATTTAATATTTTACTTTAACCCACGGCTGAGCAAATATTTCTGAAACTTAAGTAAGTCTGTACAGGAACAGACAAAATCTGATAATTTTATTCCCACCAAAGTACTTCTTAAATAAATGTACATAATGTTATTTTAAAATTTAAAACAATTCAGTACCCTGGAATCTTAAGTCATTAAAAAAACTTTTCCTATGTGGCAGAACAATGAATAGTATACATCCAAGAAGAGCAAAGAATCCTGGTAGTAAGGATGAATATTTGCTCAGCACTTGCTATACTCCAAGTGTTTACCTCTTCACTCCCTGATTCCTCACATCGGCCCTAAGGAACAGGCAATGTCTTGTACATCTGAGGAAACTGAGGCAAAAGGAGGCTAAGCAACTTACTCAACGTCACATCGCTAGTAAGTGGTGGAGCCCAAGTTCAAATTGAGAGAGTTTTGTTCCACACAAAACCAAGCAAACTACCTCTCAGAGAAAAAAGAAAAGAAATGTTTAAGAAAGCTAAGGCTGGGCGTGGTGGCTCCCGCCTGTAATCCCAGCACTTGGGGAGGCCAAGAGGAGCAGATCGCCTGAGGTCAGGAGTTTCAGACCAGCCTGCCCAACATGGTGAAACCTTGTCTCTACTAAAAATACATTAGCCAGACGTGGTGGCAAGTGCCTGATACCAGCTACTTGGGAGGCTGAGGCTGGAGAATTTCTTGAAACTGAGAGGTGGAGGTTTCAGTGAGCCGAGAATGCGCCATTGCATTCCAGCCTGGGCAGCTGAGTGAAACTCTGTCTCAAAAACAAAAAAACCAAAAAGCTAAGTACTTTTAGTGCTATTATTCTTCAGTGCCATTAACAATGTTACCAAAGAATTATCCTGAAACTTATTAAGAAACACTGCTGTCAGAGGCAGTTCAGGCCAAACCACTTTGTGGGTAGCAGCAACAGGAATGATAGACAGTCAAAGGCTGAGAAGGTGTGAGGAAGTAGAGAGAACAGGGGTGGGTGGCATATACCAAAACAACAGTTGAGGAAGTCATGTTTATGACAGTAAACATCTGGATAAATCCTAACTTTGATGATTTTGTCCAAGTCTCAAACAAAATACATTTTGTGTATCTCCATATTCCTTTTGCCCATGTTCAAAACTGGCTCTTCGTTATGAAGAACAGCTCAGAGGGCCTCCCGCTCTACACTTCTAAGGCAGGTTGGAAAGAGGCTGGCTTTTAAGAGCCTTGCAGCAGTCCATAAGGGGCTTAGTATCAACTGCAAATCTATTCGTGCTTAACACTGTGCTCAAATAAAAAAGAATGTTACCATTCTTTTCTAAATTTTCTCAATCTTTAAACTCTTAATTTTGAAGGCAAAGGAATCCTTAAATAGCTCTAGAATGACCTATACTGCCAAAATGATTCAAAGATGTTACCTAGAACAGTCCAAGTCCATCCAAAGCTGCTAAGCCCCAGACCTTTCCAACAAATGTTACCTTTCCAAGACAAATATGCTGCCTCCCTTCAGCCAGGGACAAACCCCAGCAGGTGAAAATGAAATGAGCTATCTGAATTACTAATGATCTTCAAAGGTAGGCTTGAAGATGAGAGAGAGAGACAGAGAGAGAGAGAGAGAGAGAGAGAGAGAGAGAGAGAGAGAGAGAGAGAGAGAGAGAGAGAGAGAGACAGAGACAGAGACAGAGACAGAGACAGAGACAGAGAGAGAGAATATTGGAGAATTTTCCCCATTCCTAGAAAACTCGAAACTAAAACCATGGTTAAAAGTATTAACAGTGCTAATTTGTCACTTTTGGTAAGAGTTTGCAGAGCAACAAAGTATACAATTCCATAAGCAGAATCACTAAAGTCAGAAGATAAATTAGCCACAATTAACATGTTAGGTGAATTGTTTAAGTAGAAAGGCACTAATTATAAAAGTTACTAAAACACTTTACTAGGAATTCAGAAAAAACTCCAGACCCAGTTATAAGGCATCTTGAAAGATATTTACCTGGCTGAATTCTGATGATTAAAGTTAACTAAGTCTGGATTAAGCAAGAATGAGAGGTAGATGTTACAGATAAAATAAAGACCAGATTAGATCTAGTTATTCTAAAATACTTCTAGAAAAATCAAGCAAATGGGTAGATTATGAATTCTATTTTGACTTCAGGTGCCATCTAGCTATTTAACCATCTCCAGATAACATACTAAAGACTTTTCTTTTTCACAAAATGTAAAATCAAAAAACTAAAGAGGTAAGTAGTTTTAGCCAAAAGTTTTAACTAATTGCAAAGTTTACTTGCAGCAAAGCTAACCAGGCTTCATAAATAACACCCATCTCCAAACAACTACGTTATCTTAAATCATGTTTCCTGGGACATTTCCGGAGTTTGAGTCCCTTTCCTGTAAGTATATAAAACTTTTTGGCAACTGAAAAATGAAGAAGACTGAAGGCAAGATGCTACTCACTTTTCAATCTCAATGCCAAGGGGGTTAGCAGGACGTAAGGACAAGGGCGGAATTCCTTTGTTCCTGTCAGTACGCATATCATAATAATTCATTTCATCAACCCACACAGCAGACTGATCCAAAATGCCTACAGAAATGAGGAGCATATGCTTAATAAGATGAAGGCTACCCCAGGTACCTTCTAAGTCTGGCCATATTGCCTTACTTCCTAAAGACCTAATACAAAATGCCTGTTGGATAATTTTTAAGAGATTTGAGGATGTAACAGCTAAGTTTTTTTAAATGACTAGTAGTTTAATTATAAGCACCAAAAAAAATCTATAAAAAGGCAAAAATAACACCTCGGCTTATGGTTTCATTGTACTTTACTCAATAGAGAAGACAAATTAAGCTGCTTAGAAAAAGTTTTGCTATAACAAACGCATTTTACAAATAATAAACACCACAATTAAACATTGTTAAATGTAACTCATTAAATCTGTACCAAAAAATTCAGAAAGTCAGTATGTAAGATGCAATAAGATGACCTATAATATCTGTTTATTCAAGAGAATATTCTGAAATCATGTAAACTCTTGGAAAATGTCTGGGAAATACCCAAGCACAAAACACTGGAGTTAAATGTTAGTTCAGTGAACGTTTCTGGTTTATGATAAATGCTGAAAAACCATTATGCACATATAATTTTATATTTAATACTGTAAGTTTCTTCTTCTGGGTTTCATAAGCTACCTTAAGGACATTTCGCTATAAATGAAAACCAAATGTTTTTTAAATGGTTCTTGAAAGCTCGCAAGCAACATCTTTTATTTTCTTTTCCTCTAGAAACAATGGCATGTTTTCATGAATAGTTATGGAAAAATATTATGCTACTTGCTAGTTCCCATGCTTTTTACTATTATCAGTGCTTGACATGTCCTAGATGGTAGAAACAGCCCGTTTTTTTTCCATATTAGGCTGAAATCAATTTGGCAAACTCAATAAAACATCTAACGATTAAATCAAATACCTTTTAAGAATGCATGGCTTGTGTAATGGAAATGGCCAGGTTATTCAGGGAAAACTGACTGGGTGTGGACCCTGTGAACAAGACAACATAAACTCTAAAAACATCTTCCTTTATGGGACTGAGCTCTTTATCATTCAACCTAGCATAGGGCTTACCAGCTAGGCCTCCAAGGCGCTGGGCTGCAACAGAAAAAGAGCAAGTGGCCAGGGAGTACAGAAAAAGTGTGCCTGCCTCCACACGCGAGGATCAGAAGGTTTCCTGGGAGAAGGCTGTCTGAATACCAGGCAACCTGTGGCTGCAAGGCCCTCTGGGAACCCACTCATTCCCTCAGCTCTTGCAGTTCTGCCAGCATGCAACAGGGGCTTTGTCAGAGCTTCTGCTCGAGTCCAGGCGCTCCTGAGTTCAGTCCAAGAAACCTTTACTAAGTCTACTATGCGCTAGGCCCTGGGCTGAATGTTCTAGAATAATAAAACTACTACTTTTGCCTAAGTTGTTTTTATCTGCTACATAAATAAGATATCAGATTTTATCAAAATGTTTACATTCCTCTAGAAAACCCGTATAACAAGTTCCTGCTTTAGTTTCACAGTTTAGTTTTGGAGACACAAAAAAAGAGTAAACAAAAATACAAATGTTATATGTATACATATATGCATGCATGCATGCATGTACACATGCATATATAAAATCCACTTTGAATTTTCCCTTAAATTCCTTGAACTTTTATTTACAAAAAAAAATCTAGGAATTTATCGAGAATAATGCTGCAGAAAGGCTCTATGCTCTGAGATTTAAAAAAAAAAAAAACAATTTGCAAAATTATTTATTTTTCTATATAAGAGAAGCACTGCCTGGATTTAATTATGCCTACGATAGTCCTACATTATACAAATATTTATCAAGTGCTGACCATGTGCAAGACATTACAGCACCACAAAGATGAATCTGACATTACTGTTCTTCTAAAAAAGGAAACAGACATGCACAGAAATAGCTACAAGAAAAATAATTATAAATTATTAATTTGTTGGGTAAGCGACTATATTGAGCACTTTACATTTCTGTTCTAACTCACCCAATCCTATGAGGTAGGCGGTATTATTTCACTTTTGCTCATGAAGAAACAAGGTATTAACGTTAGTTAGTCATGGTAAGAGAATCCAGGTTAGAATTCAAAGAGTATGACTTCTCAGACCAAATTGCTAAGACTGCTAACATAAGGTAGCAAGTGGTCAGTGCATAAAGAAGTAAAACATAAAGTGCTGTGTGGTTCAAAGATGAGTAACATGACTAACGCAGGAGCCTAAAAGCAGCCAAGCCAGGAATGTGTCATCTGGGCCTTGAAGGATGGGCAAAATGAAGGAAAAGGGAATATTATTTAGATATATTATTACTAATTTGGCCAAATCAGGACTTTTCACCTCAAATCTTGTTTCTTTAATAGTTTTAAAGCAATGTCATTGTATTCAAGATCAAGGAACCGAAACTGGTATATCAAGTGAGTGAACAGATTTTGAGAACTTAGGAGGATAGTTCTCATATGATCGTCATCCTTAGGTTTCACTGACTGTTATTTCAGCACACTGCCTTCCCAAAAGTAATACAAATATTAACCAACATCCCATTCCTGTCAAAATAAACGTAAACTAAATCTAAGTTGAGATATGCAAGCGGGTAGGTTTATAAAATCTACCAGTTTTACATCTTAAAAGACGAACTCATTTTTACTTTCTTTTTTAGAATAAACCCGTGAAGTACTTTACCTATTTTCTCAGGTTTGAGCAGCTTGAAGGAGACTGTTGAGGTTCCTTTGCCCCCTGATTTAGTGGTGACAATAATGTCTCCTTTGTCATTTTTGGCTTGTCCCACTCGACATACTATTTTACTTGCAGACATCCATTCTGCCGTCAGGAGGCAGTTATGGCCACAAATTGTCAGGCCTGAAAATAAATGCAGGTGCATAACAAAATTCAAAGACAAGAACAATGAGAAGACCTTAATCATGTCAATGACATTTTTTAAATCTAGCAATAATTTTCTTGTTCAATAATTACATTTTTGTTGAATATACCCACATTATTTGTAGATATACTGTTGTCTCTATTGATTTTTCCTCTTACCTGTTTTTTTCTCTAATATTTAAGACTTCTTTTAGGCTACATTTAAGTTTTTTCAAACATCAATAGAATTAGAAAAGGAATGGCCACAATAACTATGTCTAGCATTCCAGATTACTTAGACTAGGAGAATCTTAAAATGCTCTCAGAGGTAATAAAAGGGAAACTATTGCTATTACTTGAAGTCTCAGTTATTAATGTAGAATTTTAAAATGTATTAATAAATTTATAGATCATTTTCTAAAAACATTCAATATTCATCCATCTTCCTGAAAAAATCTTTATGTATTTTTCTAGTGTTCACTTACACATGGTATTACAGAATAAACTAAAGTAGGTTTTTTATTTAAGCATAGCCTAGAGTAGGGTAATCTAGTGGAGTGTGCTCAGGCATTACTGGATTACTAGCTCACTTTGACATCAGTGTATCGGCTGCCAGCACAGTAGTTCCTCCTGCCCTAGTGTTTTCCTATGAAACTGTCACTATACTACATTCTGCTCTTTCAGTAAGCCTACACTCCCAAAAGGTCAGCTCATGATGTCACCTCCCTCATACCATGTTAAACAAAAATTTAGGTAATAACCAAACAGAGAGAGACTGAAAGATGCAGGGAGAAAGGCAGACACCCCGAGGGGAATACCAGCATCCCACCACACTGTTCAGCTAGTCTTCTAACTTACTTTCATTAGTTTTTCCATTTCCACAAAACAGAGACCAATGTAATTAATATGTATGGAGATGAGAACCAGAATGTTTGTGGCACAGGCACAGACACTTCATGTTTTCTTTTTTTTAAGACAGGGTCTTGCTCAGTTGCTGAGGCTGGAGTGCAGTGGTGTGATCTCGGCTCACTGCAACCTCCACCTCGTATGTTCAAGTAATTCTCCAGCCTCAGCCTTCCAAGGAGCTGGGACCACAGGTGTTCGCTACCATGCCTGGATAATTTTTTTTTTTTTTGGTGTTTTTTGAAGAGACGGGTTTCGCCATGTTGGTCAGGCTGGTCTCAAAACTCCTGGCCTCAAGTGATCCGCCTGCCTCAGCCTCCCAAAGTGCTGGGATTACAGGTGTAAGCCACCGTGCCTGGCAGACACTTCACACTTTCTTTTCTCATTATTTAACTTTCTGTAATGTTCAGCAGTAAGGTTTAGCAATTGCAATGTTTTCTTTTGGCTCTTTTTCAGAAAGGGCCAAAAGAACAGAAAGACTTCAACCAGTGCCAAACCGACTTTTAAAATGAAGGGACAAAGTCAAATCATCTTTTGTTCTAACTTAAAAAGCTATTTAGTAAGAATGTTAAATCATAAAGGAATGAAAACAACTACATTTTAAAGATATATTGCTTGAAATAATGAATTTTAGGGGTTTCCGTAAAATACCGATAATCAACTAATGTCTGCAACTTTGTCTAATAATGGCATTAAAAGGTTTCTTTGGGACTACAGTTTCTATTGGTATGCTTTAATTATAATAACACACTTTTAAATGTATTCATTATTCAAAAATTTTTTTCAAAACAGGCATGTTTTTGATATCTTTTCTAATAATTTTTGTTATGAAAAACTTAAATAACTTAAGAGACAGAAAGCCTCTCCAAATCCCACCTCACAAGAGAAATACTGCTAATATGTCAATGTTCACTTGCTCAAGTAATTTTGTGCATCTATAAACCAGTCTATATGTTTTTAAACAAATGTTTTAATTCATAACCTGCGTAATTATCGACAGTAGATATTTTGGTATCACTCCAGGTCAAGAGACTACCTAATATTTGTAAGTATTTTGATACCAGATTTTTGTGATTTTAAATATTAACTCACTTCAGAATGAAGAATAACTCAGTAATTAATGTCAGGGAGCAGTGTAAAAATACAAATAGTATTTTCATTAAAAGAAGAAAGTCATCCCTAATATAAGTTCCTTGCTAGAGAACTATCTTATGATTAAAACTAAAAAATAAGAGCAAATTTCAGATACAAAGTATTAAAACCATGTTCATATGAGCAAACCTGAATGACATGCATGAAGGCACATGTTGGCACAAAACTGCCCCTAGAACATTAGTTTATTCATTGGATCATAGCTGCTTTCAAGATTCCTCTGATTTAATATCTGTAACACATTTTTACTCCAAGAAAATGAATAATTGGCAAATAGTTTAAACACAGATTCAAATAGATCATTTTAAATGTTATGAAAAGAAAAAAGATCATAAGATCTATTTCTTAAGCACAGTTTTGCTAAGTTATGCTAAGAAATGTGCTTCATGAAACATAATAGCACATTTTTTTAAGGAAAAAAAAAGAAACTCATAGATTCCAAGTAAAGTACTTTTTATAGTGTTTTGCTTGGCTAGTGTAGATATCATCTGAGTTAAAAACACTTAAATTATTTAGCAGGTTAAGTTTGGTTTTTTAAAAAATGGTTTCTTGGCAATACATAAGGCAGGCTGAAAGCTGAACTAGCATGGTTTAGAAAAGTAATACACACTTAATCAAATAAGAATAGCGTTGCCTGAAGCTAAAACAAGATTAAAATTTACCTAGACTACTAACTGTCATGTTTGGGAGCTCACAATGACTGCCAATGAAATTCTGGACAGAACCTCCACCTGTATAGGTAGATTGTCATGCATTCTGGTGATTTTCCCACTTAGCTAAAGAAACATGTGGAATGAGCTTTATCAAAAACCAAGACATAAGATTAGATAAGACTATTTTTGCCGGAATAAATTGAAGTGATGTTTACTAAACAATGTAAAACTACAGTTAGAGAAAACAGTATCACATGAGACATAAGGGTAGCAGAAAGAATTGGCTAGGCAGTGCAAAACTCAGTTACTAAACAGAGTACTAGCTCCCATTCACTTTTTCTTTTTAAAGCATTTTCTGAATGGCCAAAAACCAATCTATCGACCAGTAGTCATAATGCAGGAAAAGCAAGTTCCAACTTGTGATTTCAAGTACCTTACCAACAATTCCGTCATCAGTACAGAAATGAGTCAAGAAAATGTCTGAGTCCAGAAGAAATTTATATGGGAAGCCATAAAATACATTCGGTAGCACACAGTGGGGACTCTGCTCACTCTGAATGCATCTGTATACCCACCTGAGCAGTTCACAGACAAGTAATCATAACTGCCCATAAAATTATATTTAAAACTCACTCTCTACCCTGGCTGCCCCTAATACCCATGTATATTTTAAGAAACAATGTTTAGGCTCCATCTTTAGAGACTGAAACTTAGTAGGCCAAATAGTTCACCTTTAAAGTTCTAGAGAGATTCAGAAAAGCCTGGGCTGAGAAGCACTGACAGACCCAAGTGCTTCAAGACCAAGCAAGCAGTAAAGGCTTCCACATCACAGAAAGGGGAAGGGGAAAATGCGCCATGCAAGCCAGCATCCAAAAATATTTGCACCACACCAACTGGATGTGTGGTGTTCTAACCATTCATTGAGCTTCAACTCTGCTAGAAAAGATAAAAAACATAAACTGACTCTAAAAACTAAACTTTGGCTTGCTCCAGATAGGATCCACAGATCACAATAAGGACACATGCCTGCTAGATGGAGTGAAGAGAGATCCAACTGCTGCCCCTATCACCAGAAGATGGGGCTGAGACTTGCTTTTAGGAGCAACAAGGAACAGAAAAGGCATCATTCACAGAGCACTTGAGAAGCAACAGACAAGCCAGACAAGGGAAGAAAAACTAATGGGAGCAACAACATAAGAACAGCTCTTTTGGCAATCAAGGCATCAAAGCTGAGGAAAATCTGGGGGCAAATCTCTGCCCTGGGAAATGTTCTGAAGGACTTGAAAAACAATATAGCCAAGATTTGACAAAATAATGATTTTCACACAAAAATCAGAAAGCCAGAGATAATTCTTTCATCTTTTTGGAGCATTCCGTAGAGACCACAATGATGTTTGTTCTATCACTTTCACTATTAGAAAATTACATATCTTGTCTCCATTGTCCACATAAAAATACAATTATCAGGGTGTGTCGCAGGGCCACTGCCCTTACCTATAAGGTCAGTGGGGCCAGTCCCCAGGTTTTCTCCCCGGATTGTGACCTTTGTCCATGGTATCCCTTCATTTGGAGAGATGCCGGTCACAAGTGGGGGTTGTCGTGATCGAGACATTGTGCTTTGTGGAACAAACTGGTGAGCCTGTTACAGAAGTAATCTGTTAAAAGAAAAAGAAAAAAGGATTAGTACCAGCTGAGATGAGCATTGACTAAAAATATAAGAACGCTAGACAGTCAGTGGCAAAATATAAAAAGCATTCTTAAACATAGAGTTTTGCATTTTTTAGGGGTCATTTAGCGAATGAGCCAACATCTACTGAACATTATGTTTAGTAATATGTTCAGAAAAACAGCCTCATCCTGTGCTTTGGGAGAGACAGAAGGAGGGTGGGGAGAGATCTTGAGGCTGCTTCCTTAGCTCAGAACATCAATGCACCATATTTTAGGGTATCGTTTTCTGACCCCCTTTAGTAGGACACTCTGGTGAGTATTGTGAGAAAGATATAAGAATAATAGAGAGCTAAGCCCTGGGTTCTAGAAACTTTCAGCACAAGGGCAGAGAGAAATGAATGTCACTATGTAGCTCTGTGACTACCTCTGCTGAATCCTAAATTGATACTAGGAACTGTTCTACTGTTCTATGCTCAGGGCTTAAGGGAGACATTCTGATTAACTATACTTGTAACATTGAAAACAAATTTACACTCCTGTAGGTGTTTGAATTTCACTTTACTTTTGTATTTATAAAGTATAGTAACTTTTTTAACATGCCCAAATCAACACAAAGCAATTTGGTAGGAGAGTTTATAAAGATGAAAGGACAAATTCATCAGAAAGATGTAACAATTAAAACCGTATGCACTGAATAAAAGAGCTTCAAAACACATTAAACAAAAACTGATTGACTGATAGGGAGAGATAAATATATAATAATGGTTTGAGATTTTAATATTCCCTTTTAATATTAATAACAACTAGATTAAAAGTAACAACAACAAAAAATATGGAATGTTCACCAAGATAGACCATATGCTGGGCCATAAAATAAGTCACAGGCAATTCCAAAGACCGAAATTCCAAGGACTATAAAGGAATTAAGTTAGCAATAGCAATACAATATCCAGAAAAGTATCCAAGTATTTGGAAATTAATATACTTCTAAATAACCCACATTCAAAGTAGAAATTAAGAGGGAAAGAAAATATTTTGAAATGATAAGAAATATACATCAAAATTTATGGAATGCTACCAAAGCAGTGCCTTAAAATCTTACATTAGAGAAAAAAATGTTTAAAATTAAGAATCTATGTTTCTACCTTTAGAAAAAAAAACAGTAGAAACTAACAAGTAAAAAGAATTTGAAAAAAAATTAAAGCCAAAAGTTCTTCACCAATAATTAATAAATTGATGTCTCAAAAAACTCTCTAGAAATGTAACAGAAATTATCAATTTCAGTAATGAAAGAGGAAATAACCATAGATACTAAAGACATTTAAATAGTAATAAAGAAAGATGAACGGCTTCATGCTAATAAATTTTACAACTTAGATGAAATAAATTCCTTGAAAGACAAGTTACCAAAACTAAACAAGATGAAATACAAAATCTCAATATCTTCATCAATATTGAATAAATTGAATTCATCATCAAAACTTTCCTACAAAGAAAACTCAAACCTAGACGGCTTCACAGATGGATTTCCATAAAACACTTAAGGAAGAAGTATCAAGCCTATATGAATTATTTCAGAAAGCAAAAGAGGAAGACATCATGATCAAGTAGAATTTATTCCAAGAAAGCAAGCGCAGTTTTTCAAACATTAATCACTGTGAATTACCATATTAAAAGAAAAAACTATATATTACTCTAAATAGATGTCAAAGAAGCCTTTGACAAAATTCATGATTAAAAACTATTCATGATTAAAAACCCTCAACAAACTAAGACTAGAGAGCATCTCCTCAATCTAATAAAGAAGTATTTGAGTGGGAATAGATGTTGGGTGATCATCCATTAAATGCAGAATGCTTTGCCCCTTTAGACCAGAAACATAGAAAAGATGTCTCTCTTTCCTTGTCTAGTCAACACTGTCCTAGAGGTTCTGGCGGTGCAATAGGGTGAATTAAAGAAATAAAAAGCAGAAAGATGACAAAGGAAGAAGCAAACATCATGTAATAAGCAATCAAGTAGATGCCATGATTGCTTATACAGAAAATCCTAAGACATCTACTAAGCAACTAATAGCACTAATATATGAATTTAGCAAAGTCTTGGAATTCATGGTCAATATATAAAAATCAGTTATTTAAATGATTAGAAAATTTTTAAAATTCATTTTGAAAATATCATTATAGGCCGGGTGCCGTGGCTCACGCCTGTAATCCCAGCATTTTGGGAGGCTGAGGTGGGCAGATCACTAGGTCAAGAGATCGAGACCAACCTGGCCAACATGGCGAAACCCTGTCTATACTAAAACATACAAAAATTAGCTGGGTGTGGTGGTGCGTGCCTGTAGTCCCAGCTACTGGAGAGGCTGAGTCAGGATAACTGCTTGAACCCAGAAGGCAGAGGTTGCAGTGAGCCAAGATTGCTCTACTGCACTCCAGCCTGGTGCCTGGTGACAGAGCCAGACTCTGTCTCAAAAAAAAAAAAGAAGAAAAGAAAAGAAAATACCATTATAAAATACCTAAAAATACACTTAATAAGAGAAATGTACAAGACATTTACATTAAAAACTAAAACATACTGCAGAGAGAAAATAAAGACCTAAATAGGTGAAGATCTATATCATGATCACGGCTCAGAGAACTCAATGTTGTTAAAATATCGATTCTCCCCAAAGTGATCTATAAATTCATGCAAGCTTAAGTAGAGATATTGTCACAGTCACTCTAAAATTTCAGTAGATATTCAAATGATCTAGAAGAGCCAAAACAATTTTAGGAGGAGGAAAAATGTTTTAACACTTACAGTATATGACTTCAAGGCTTATTACAAATCTACAGTAATCAAGACAGTGTTCTTGACATTAGGATAAACTAATGGATGAATGAAATAGAATAGAATCCAGAAACAAACATACATGATATATGAGTTTTGACAAAGGCACCAAAGTAATTCACTGGGAAAGGAAAGTATTTTAAAAGATGTTGAAATAACTGGATAACTACATAGGAAAAAAAAAAAAAAAGGAGACGTTAACTGCAACCTCACATCACTTACAAAAATTATTTCAAAATGGCTCATTAAAAACTGTATTTGTAAACTATAAAGAAGATAACACAAGAGAGTATCTCCATTACCTGGGTGTAGGTAGACTTGTGTTCAATACGACAAACAGTAACTGTACAATGAAAACTACTACATTTTCTGACTTCACCCAAATTAAATTTTCTGCTTATCAAGAGAAAATAAATAGGCAACTACTGTCTAGAAGGAAATATTCACAATAGATACAAATGATAAAGGACTTTATACAAACAACATATAAAGACCTTTTGCAATGTGATAGCAAAGGAAGCAACCCAATTTTTCTTAGTGAGCAAAAGATTTGAGGAGACTCTTCATAAAAGAAGATATATGAACTCAGTTTTTAGTATAACATGTGATAAACAGATGTATACATTTGGTAGATTTGTGTGTGTGTGCAAGTGTGTATTTTCTAGCTTTGTACATTGAGAGAGGCTAGAAGCAATAATATGACAGTAGTGGTGAGCATATCTAACTCCCACATACCATTATTCAATAAAAGTAACCAGAGTCCTTGGACAAATGCCTGACTGCAGGGCTGAGGCAGGGCTAGGACAAGATAAGTCTGAAAGATTCTGCTGTGCCAGTAAGGAATTATGTGTCAAAAGGCCACAGAGGCAGACTAAAGCAGTGCCCACTGTCCAAACCAGACTATCTGAGCACCAAAAATTAGTATTTTCTCAACCTCGACATTTTCAAAGAGTACAGGTTATTTTATGATGCCTATCAAGTTGGCTTTGTCTGATCATCCTCGTTGATTTGAGCTGGATTCTGTATTTTTGACAGGGACTTCACAGATCCTTCTCAGTGATTCATATCAAGAAAGGCTCCTCCTGTTTGTCTGTTGCAACTTTAGGATTAGATAGTATGGTACCAATAATAAACTTCCTGATTTTGGAAACTGTGCTATAATATAAGAGAATGTCCTTGGTCTTAATAACTGCATACTTAAGGTATTTAGGAGTAAAGGAATGATGCTGCATCCTACTTTCAAACGGTTCACAAAAACATATGCAGACAGATGGACAGAATGATACAGAAATTGGGGTAAAAAGGAAACAGCCAGGGGGTGTGGTTAAAGAGCTTACTGGAGTTACTATTTACCAAAATAAAGGAAATAAGGGGCTTACAGGAGTTACTTTTACTATTCTGGAAAGTTTTCTATAACTCTGAAGTTATATTAAAATAAAAAGTTATCAAATATAATGCTTTAGTAATATTTTGAAATTAAACATAAGCACGTCACATGAACATTATACTGCTGAACAACATATTAGGCTCATTGTGCCTGAAAATTGAAAGCTAAATATTTATTTTCACATTTGACATTACGAAATGCACAAACAATAAATAAACTAATATTAAATAGACATACTAGGTGATTTAATAGTTAAAAGTTTATATAAAATGTTTTAGAATATTATTTTACTGGAATGCTTACCTCTTTAAACATGCTTCTAAATGCAGACAAAATTGTGGAAAGCTTGTTTTGCGAATGTGCTACAAAACTATTATAAACCGATAAACATGAGATTTAGTATGGTAACGTATTAATAAAAAATTACAGGACAGCAAAGGCATATTTCAACACAAAGTTCCAGCAACTGCTTTAATACACAGATACCACCTTGCCCCAAAGATACTGTAGGGAAAGCAAATATTAAGAAAAATGTGGATAATTAACCTGTCTCATTAATTAATGCCTACAAACCAATTTCTGAAAGGAAAATACTTTCTTCAATTGGCATGGAAAAGTAGACTGCCACTGAGTGGTGATTTAATTATCTTCTTGGCACTATTAAACTATGTCCTCAGTATCACAGCACAAATGAAATAAGCATGTGCTTATTATAAGAAAGTGCTTTCAGATTCTGGTCTAAATCACATAAAGAACCAAATTTTTAGGTAG